ATTTTTCAGTGACAATTTTAAAAGTTATTTACTTTTAATTTTCAGCGCTCGTCATATTATTCAAATAAAACAGTGATAGAATAATTAATTACTTCATTTTCGTATTAGCACTAACATTTTATCTTCTAAGACAAATAAATTTAACAAGTAGAACTCAGTCATCTAAAGTTTTCTGCTTTTTTTTCACTTCATCTATTTTCTATTTATCTTGCAAATGTACAAGTAAAACAAGTTTCTGATTCACCTTCAATTTCAAAACGAATTTTTATGCTTTTGAAAAAAGAGATCGACTAATTAAAAAAACATTTTTCTTTTTTTTTGCAAAAAATAAAACTTTTAATACTATTTTAACCTTATTTGTTACAATTATATATCTGCAAAAATTTATTTTTGGATTTGAATTCAAAAAAAAAAACAAACAAACTAGAATTTCTATATCATATCATAATTGTGGAAAGCTTTTTGTCGTTTTTAAGAATTATTAAAAAAAATAATTATTATATTGATGGATGGCCTAAATAAGCGTTTTAAATTTTGAATTGCTTTTTATGAAGCACAAATTTTATGGTAATTCCGCATTTCCAATCGTTTTATTAATTCATTCAAATTAGTATTGAATAATGAGATTGCTTTTGTTGGTTCCAAACTTCAAGAACTCTTTAGAATTTTGTGTGCTGTTTTAGCTAATTGCAAAACTTTGAAAAAAAAACTTAAGATAATTTTATTAAATGATTATATACTTTATAAAACTATCAATTAAATCTCATAATATTCAAATATCAGTGTCAGTTATTAAATTAGTCACGATGAGGGAATGTTATTTCACGTTCAATTTCGTTTTGAAATAATTAAAAGTGAAAATTTTTTGTTATTTTTTAATTTATATTATTCTTTTTAGTCTCAAACACTTTCAATAAATTGCAAGATAATAAGCATAAATTTTTAAGTATATAAGTGATATAGCAAATAATATTTTCAAGTTTTAATTCAGTTAAAAGTAGACGAAAAATAATTCATTAAAAGTTCTTCAAAATTAGAAAGTAACTTTCGCAGTCTTAAATCGTTGTTTAATTTTTGATTAAAAGTTATTGTAATTTAAAAAAATAAGAAAAGTTTGCAAAAATTCACCAAAATACTTTAGCAATGGCTAGAAAAGTAAAAAATTAGAATTTAAAACCATTTAATAAACTATACTTTCTGTCAAATAATTTTGCTTTGTGACATACAAAATTATTACTATTGCTGTTGATATAATGGTGATAAGATTAATGATAATAATTTTGATTACCAAACAATATGTTACTACAATGTTATATAATTCACATTTTGAACGATTTTCATAGATTATTATCTCTCTTCAAATTGATTCATATCTCATTAAGTCTTTTTCATCGAAAATAGTTAATAATTAATTTGTCCTCATTTTATTACGCTTGTAATTATTTCAGTTATTGTCTGTCTTTGAATTATTTGACCTGTAACTAACCTATTCTATTCCATAATGCCTCTATAGTGATCAGTTTTAATCACTTTTCTCACCTTTATTTCATTCGTCTCAAAAGATGCTAATTCAATAATTATTGCAACAATTTTTCTGTTAAATTTTTTTCAAATAATAGTGTTATTTTTTATACAGTGTTGAATATACTGCTACTACGTAAGTCATTTATGACGTAAAACTTGAATAAATCATCCAATGACATTGCTAAAAAACAGTATAAATTATAATTGCAAATTTTATTATTTTTTGTCAAACAAACTTTTATTTTTGCTGATTCCGCAACTTTTGTTTTAATTATCAATTAAGTATTACGTAATATAAGTTTGAAATTTATTGCACTTAAAGTTAAAATGAATCTAGCAACAGAGATTAACTTTTTACAAAGCAATTTCATTTAATATTGCTATAATTTAATAAATATATTCATTATGCTTGTTAGTAGCATATAACAAATAAACTAAAATGTTGCTTTATTATAAAAGTAAATAAAAATAAAATGATAGAGAAGGAAAGCATTTCGTCTCTTTTGACTATCATTTTTGATTAAATTAAAATTACTGGAAAATAAATTCTTCCTGAAATTTTATCACTTTAACACTCAATAATTGGTTTAGCAAAAGTTTCTTTTGAATAATTTTTCATTATTTCAAAAATAATCTGATTTTGGCACTTCACTGCAATGCAACTTTAACATACTTTAATAAAAATTTTGCCTGAATTTTGATCTAAACCAGTAATTTTTTAACATTTTGACATTTTTTACAATGCATTTTACATAATAAATGTGTGATAGAAGTAAAAATTGCAGCAAATGAATAAATTTTGCATTGAATAAATTCGTCAAAAAAGTCGAAATATTGAAAAATCAAAGCAGTAAAATCTTTCAAATTTTTTTTATTTTTTATTATTTGAGATGTATTTGAAAAGAGCAAACATTCCTATATTATATTGCATTGAAAAACAAACAGCAAACATCTTATTCTTGTATTTTGCAAGAAATTTTTGCTAAACAAAAAAAATTGGCAAAAATCAGTTTGTGATGAATTATAACATTTTACTGCTTCTTTTCTCGAGCAAAATTTTTTTCACTTATTAATGACAATAAAAAGTTTATCAAGTTTATGCTTAAATAAAATTTGCAATTATAATTTGTACTGTTTTTTAGTAATGTCGTTGGATTTATTCATAATAAATATTGCATATAGATGCAAATTTTGTCTAGAAACAAAAATTTTTATTCATATTCATAATAAATATTGCATATAGATGCAAATTTTATCAATGTTATTAATAACTGACTGCAATATAATAATAATATATTCTTGCTTAAAGTTGATATTGAATAAAATTTTATAGGTTGAAGAAAAAAAAATAAAAATATATACATAATAAATAAATATTTGAAATTAAAAAAAAAAAATTAAATGCAGAGGATAAATGATTGAAGCAAAGTAGTTAGGTGGATAGATGTATGTATAAGTAAGTTAAACACATTTATGAATAATACTAAATGGAAAATTTGGTGCTGTAAGTTTGATTAGTGATGTGAGAAGTGAAAAATGAGACAGAACCTGTTCTGATCCTGCAATTCAATTGCAGCTATTGCATCTATTTTAACATTACTTTTACTCTCGAACTGATATACTTCGGTCGTATTTATATATATTCTCAGAAATTTATTGTATTTTGATTATTCGGGTGAACTGTTTGCATTGCTTTAAGTATCAACTTTATTTTATGATATAAATTATATCATTAAATTGCAAATACTGTCAAATATCTTCACTCTTATGAATTGATTTTAATTAATATTACTTATTCAAATTTAACTATGCTTATCACAATTAATTTCAGTAAAAAATATTGTTGAAAATTAAATCATTTTAATCACCAAAAATTAATGCTTTACTCTTATTAATTTTTAATAAGTATCAAATTATTTCAATTAGTGTTTTAAGTTGCTCATTTTTGAGCAATAATATAATATGCATCATTTATCACTACTTAAAAATAAAAATGTAAATTCACTGATAATAAAAGTATATAATCATTCTTTTTCATCTCCTTATTGATGTATACTGTATTTTCAGCACCATGTTAACAAACATAATCTGTTCTTAACGTTGTTTGATACTGTAATGACTGCCAAATTCTACTATTGTAAATTGTTTATTAATGCAAAAAAATTATATCGCATAGTTTCTTCATTAAAACTCACAAAATTAATATCATTTAATACTTAATAAACAAATAATTTAATTACTTTGAACTAATTCCATAACAATATATTTTGGTAAAAACTTGAAGTACAATTCTTAAAACATTTTTCAATCACATTTTTCTGATTGAAAACTTAGAGTGTAGTAATTTTCATTCTTATCACAAGCAAGACAGATTTTTTACAATAACTAGTCTATTACAAATAAAATTAGAGATATCTATGTAGTAATATTATTATATTTATCAAATTTTCTCAAGTTCCTGAAAATTCAGAAGATGAATATTACAGCAAGTTATTCTTTTTCTATACTTTTTCCAGTTTTCCCAAATGTTAGCTTATACTTAATTATGCTGCGCCTACTGATAATGACTGCTATCGATATCAGCAGCATTTTATCATTCTCGGAGTTCAATTAATTATTAAACGATTATTTATCACACACTACAGTCTTTAAACTGTCTGTAGAAATACAAATGAAAATAAACCTCTCATTTCTATTTTAATATTTATTAGTTGCATATGTTTTTATAAAATCCGCTTTTCGAAGCTTCATCTTAAAATTTAGCCATTTGCTTATAAATATCAAATTTAGCAGTGCTTTTTGTTAATTTTGAACTAATTCAAATAAGAAAAATAGACAGAGTAAAGTAATTTTAATATCTTGTTCAAAAAACAACAACTCTTTTTTAGGAGTACTAGGGTCAAATAAATATAATTATTAAAAAATTAAGTATCAATTGATAGTTATCTTTTCTGTCACAAATTTAACGCATCATATTTCTCTTAATTACCAACAAATCACCATTAGTTGAATCAAAGTTCGATTTTGTATCACATTTAATTAGCAAAATTACTCTGAAAATTTCAATTTGAATTTGAATTTGAATTTTTCTTCATCATTTTTAACTGATATGATATAAACTAGAAATGCTATATTTACTGCTATTTATTTTGTTTGCCATTTCCTGCAAAAAGTTAAGCTAATTTATTTGAAACTTAGATTACAGACAAATTGGATATTACTTTTCTTTTGCTTATTAAATGTGATACAAAATCAAAACTTGATTAAACTAATGCGCAATTGACTTTATTTTTCTTCTCAATCATTTATGTCATTACTCAAATTTGCTTAATTTTGTTGCAAAATTTAATTATAATTTGTACATAGATATTTTCATGTATTATTATTTGGTAACAAAAATTTTTTGCTTCATCTTAAACATTATTTTTCAAATAGTTGAATATAATGATTCACTCTTCACTTTCTTAAGCAAGTAAATGAAAGTGTTCTCCGTGGGAATAGACGAGAAGTCACTATCAGCAAAAGATTCACCATCATCACCTGATAGCATCTCTGTGGCTTCAACTCCTATCATAACTTTTGAGAAAAAACGACGTCCAAATAAAGTAATGAGAAAATTTTTCTTTCAGAGTAGCAAACTCTCATTGAATTAAAAAATATCCAATATGTAAAAAAGTTGCAAGATTGCTTATTAACTGAAAAACAATAAAAGTTTGACTTTTAATATTTATTATGCTAGCTTATAATTAACCAATTTAAATTCATTACAAATATGGCTGTTGTAAAAATTTTATATCGTTCAAAAGACTCATTTCTTCTGTTGCATTTTAATAATTTGAAAGTGACGAAGAGAGAAAGTAATTTACAGCAAATAAATGTTTGCTTAGAGAGAAAAAAACAAGTCCTATAAAATATGCGGCAAATATTTCTTGAAATCCGTTCCATTTGTTAAACAAATTAACATATGCAAGTTTGATTTTCTATCATATTTGCTGTAAATTTATATAATATTTTTGCAAATATTCAGTCATTTAAAAAAATGCATGAAAATATTAACTAACAATCAAAGAGCATAAAAAATTATCATTAAGCTTTTTAGAATTATTTAATATGTTGGGGAGCGTTATGCTTAATTATTTTATTTGCAATTGTAATGAGCGAAATGGCATACAGCAGAGCACGAGAAGATTTGCGATTGAGATGGTACTTTTAATAATTAGACTGACTAAAGTCTAATTTAAATGTAGTAAAATTGAGAAAAAGAATTATGATTGAGTTTTATGAAGTTTATTTATTATTAAGTCATTCTATTCTTAAAATGTTCAACAATGACAAAAAATCTTTGCAGTATTTTAAGCAAATTTTTAGCATTTAGTTAGCTGTTCATACTTTGGCACTTTTTTTCAGCTCAAAAATAATTAATGCAAACAATTTTGTGCTTAAGTATAAAATACAAGACAACTTACTATTACCAGTTGAAAAACTGCAAGAATTAAAGTGAAATTTTTATTTCAAAGATGTTTAGGATGGAATTGAAGAATAAGATTGGTATTGGATGTGATGAATGCATGAATACTCCTCGTAGTGCACAACCATTCCATCAGCAACGGTAATAGCTGTAAATTATGAGCAATAAAATTTGATCAAAGCAAAATATAATTAAATTATAAAAAATATACGCCTGCTGAATAGTAAACTGTTTATTTATAAAAATATGTTTGACAAGTAAGTATAGTATGCTGTATATTCAAAAACTGCTGACTTTAAATGGATTTGTTAATAGCACGTAAAGAGTCACACGCATTTACATTTTAATCCACTTTAATGATAGTATAATTAGAAAGGACAAAAGCTATTCAAATAAAATGTCATTCAAATAATATTTGATCATGATAATTTAAATAAGATTATGATACCTTTTTAGATTTCCCACCGTTCTTGAAAATTCAAATGATGTAATTTTGGCAGCACAGGCGTTACATGCTGAACCAATGGAAATACTGGAGCAGATAACATCAAGATCAAATTCAACAACTTCTGAAGATAATAATTTATCAGCTGAAAAAGACAAACCTATGGTAAGTGGAAACAAATAATAATTCTATTTTATTCAGTATAAAAGTATCATTGCAATTTTTTCACGTTTATGTTTAAAATTAGTCCACGTAGAAATAAAGAGCATCTCATTCAGTACTATACAAATACTGCGTCTGCAAATTTTAAATGTTTGAATTGTAGCTTATTTGTATCATTGTTGAATTGAACTTTTTCGCGCCACCTCAAGCTTCTTGCCAATGTTATATTTAAAAATACTTTTGTTATCTGAAAATGCTTCAAAATATTAACAATTGCATACAATTATTGTGCTATTTCAGTAGCAATTTTAAAAGCACTTAAAATTTGAACTATCAGGCATCAAAAATTTTTCATAATTATTTAGGAATCACGTTTCGACTTCTTACGAAAAATTATTCCAAAAATCAAAGAACAGGCTGAAAAATCTGGTCTTGAAGGTGTAATGGAAGTAAAAATGCTGCACATAGATTCTGTGGAACCAAACAAAGTAATGCTTCTTACGCATACATAGATACTAATCTTTCAGTAATAATGATATTAGCCAAACGAGAGTGAAGTAAAATTTTGCTCATTACAGTAATAAACATTATGTAACATGATTATTGTTAAATAATGAAAGAAACAAAATCACTCAATCAGTACATTTTATCAAGTAATTAAATTATTACTCAAATATATTTAACTATGCTAGTAAAAACTGCTATATAAATTGATTGATTTGCTAATTTCGAATTGTATATAAATTTGCATATGCAAATATTATCATTTTAGAAAAAGATAGTATACATTTAACTGATTATAACAGTATACATTTATAGAGCATTAAATTGGTACATTAAAAGTTAGTCCTAAAATGAAATTTCATTCTAAATATAGCATAGTTAGACTTGACCGGTGATAATTTTTTCACGCATATTTCAGCTACCCAACAATATTGATTACTCTTTTTCAGTACCAAAGAACAAATTGCATACAGTTAAAGGAGAAGCAAAGATAACAATTTTAAAGAGGATTTACTGAAGTTAGACGAACAGAGTTTAATTTCATGAAGCATTTTAAACACAATGAACTTTCATAGACATTAGTTGCTTATATAGTACAGTGAGGAGTTCACTTTGGTCTAATAACATAACGAGGGTCAGATGTCTAAATTTTATAAAATTAGCTTTTCATTCAGTAAGTAAATTTTACTGACCTTTTTCACGCATAAGAAACTATTTTTGTCGAGGTTCAGCTAACTTAGCTGCTAATATTCTTAATTCAGTATTTGGTATTTTGGAGTTTCTTTTTTTTTTGCTTTTTTTTCTTCTTAGAATGAGAAAGATATGTGTTCATTCATGTTTCATTTCCAGGTCACTTGCACTTTTGTTTTTAAAAGAAAAATTTGCATATGCACTTTTGTCTGTAAAAAAATGAATAAATGCCGGAAAAATGAGACAGTATCATTGCAGAACGGATTTGAGCAATTGCGACCGGTCGATCTAATGGGAGCTCCTCGTCCAAACGCAAATTTAGTCGATGATGTCTTACGCTCGGAGACTGCTGATGGCACTGATAGGTGTGTGGCTGTGAATTTGGATCCTCGAAGTTTATGACTGTGAAGCCTTAGCTTTTTAGACAGGAAATTATGCTTTGACTTGGAGTGGTAATAGTGATGGTTAATTCTTGCTAATTATATAACTTAGTACACAATGTTTTAGATTAATGTTTAATCCTCAGTACACGTTACCACAAAACGAGATGGGAATGAATGAACAAATGATTGTACCAAGCGCGTTTGTGCAACCTCAGCAACTTTGGCCAGAACCCTGGGGAGGTCAAAGTAGTAACATTCTCTTTTCTAACGACATCCAGCACCCTTATCCTTTCTACATGACAAATCCATTATTCTTCTACCAACCGCCATCGCATCAAGCATTGCAACAACATCAGTCTCAACTGGCCTTGGCAAACTCTTGGTTGTGGGCTAATGGGGCTAATGGTATCAACACCTTCCAGCGACATGATGTTTCCAATCCCTGGTTTTTCAATGATCCCCATCTTTTCCAAAATCCAGAATTAGTGAATCCTTGGCAACAATATGGTATCTCACCTTTTGCTGTCTCTTTAACGACACCAACGTGGCACAATGGATTTTTGTTCAATCAGCCTGCTGACTATGCATGGTCAAGTCAGCAGCAGGTCTGGCTACCCTTTCAGCAACCATGGACAGGGAATATGGCGCAAAGCAATCAGCTCCTGAATCTGCAGGAACGCAATCAACAACGAGTGCAGTTTTACTTTTTAACGTTTACATAATTTTACTTTTAACTTAAAATCAGTCAGTGTAACATGAAATCAGTGAAAATTTTACTACTAATTAAAAATTAATCATCTAGAAATGCGTTTCAATTTCTGTATTTCTACATTCATTCATGTATTTTAAGCCTAACATTCATAGTAATTCTATTCGCAGGTTATGCAACCATGGGCACTCAATCTAGGGCAAATCAATCAATTCCCAATTATGCAGGAGCGCAATCCGCAACGAGTGCACTTTTATTTCTATTTCATTCGTATTTAAGCTAATTAGAGACTAACTGTATTAATTTAGTTGATTATCAGATTGATAAAACGAGTTTGTCTATGAAATAAAACTGTCGCACTGCGTGAAAATCTTGAAAATCTAGTGGTTGCTGAAACTTGTATTTTTAATTATTGTACTGTTGCATTCATTAATTTTAAATAAACATTTTTATCGTTTCTTATCATAGGTTCGCCCACCATGGACAGCCAGTATGGCGTATAGCAATCCGCTTCTAAATGTACAAAATCGCAACGCGCAACGAGTGCAGTCTTATTTTACTTAGTTTCAGTCTTTGTACTTAGTCAAAATGCTTCTAGCTCAGTTCCAAACTATTAGAATTTTATTAGTTATCACTTCAGTGGTTAGATTTAATAAGTGGATGTATATGTATATGGTATAGTTCTAACAGTTCAAAAAAAAAAATCTTTAAATTAGCCATATTGTAATATTGGTCTGTTTTAAATCTTTTCTGGCTACAGATTCGTCAACCGTGGCCAGCCAATGTGGGACACAGCAATCAACTTCCGAATGCACCAAACCGTGATCCACAGCGAGTATAGTTTTTGCTTTTGACGTTTGCTAAATTTCATTTTTACAAAAATTATGACAGAGTTTCTAGCAACTGTAGCACTAAATCAATCAATCACTGTAGCACCAAATCAATCGCTGTAGCACCAAATCAGTTACTGTAGCACCAAAACAATCACTGTAGCACCAAATAAGTTACTGCAGTACCAAATCAATCACTGTAGCACCATCAGTGAAAATCCGATCAATAACTATTAAATTTAGTACAGTTTGGCAAATTTTTAAAACTTAAATTAAAAGTGACATTACTTTTTTAATATAAGTTGTTCTGAAATTAAAATCAAGTAATTTTAGCGGTTTGATTCGTTGGACCATTAAGCCTGTGCATGGCACATTGGAGAACTAGTGATAACTTTATTTTTCACTTACTTTTGTCTATGGCACGGGAAAAAATTTTTTTTGTTTGTTGCCCGAATCTACACTTCGAATCACTACATTGTTGCATTTGCAAATATAACACACAGAAAATTATCAACACCAGAATAAAATTATGAAGTGGAATGAAATAACAAACATGGAGCAGTTGACACCACTTCACAAACATAATAAACAAATAATTCTGCGAATATATGCTTTTGCATCTTGTTATCGTGAAGTTCACCTTAAACCTTATAAAGACTCCAAGGTTGGCCTGGTCTGTTCATATTCGTGCCTTAATTTTCCATGCAGCATACAGACTACCAAATGCGAGGTACATGAGTGAAATACAGGGTGTAGAACAGCTTGTGCAAGACATAATTGTTTTAGAGAGATATGATGGATGATACGCACATATTGCCTACCAACTTTGAGAATAGTCAAAATAGTAACTTTGCTGATGGTGACTGGAGGCGATCTAACAATCGATGGTTAGATAATCAACGTCAGCATCAAGAGGAACCGTTCGCAAGTGTCGCTATTAATCAGTTGCTCGATGTTGGTGGGGCAGAGAAAGTAGTAAGACAAAGCTCTGATCACAAGCGATCCCTGACTTCTCTATCATTACTTCAATTTCTTTCACTATAATAACTTTGTTCAGAAAAACAACTGCATTTTGAAATTGAATTTAGGTATCGAATGAACCTCATGACCAAATGTCATTTGCATCTCAGCATGTTAGAATTGAACCGTGGAATCAAAAGAAGCAGCCAATAAAACCTCTCACTCATTATCCGAACTCTGTAAGTTTTCCTTAAAAAAACATTTATGTTACTATAATGAATTGGAGAAGTAGCTACTTTGTGTTCGTGTTGAGATGAAAAGTGAAGATGACGTATCACCAAAGTTGACAGTCGAGCAAAATGGAAAACGAGGAAGGGGAAATAAGCAAATAAAGATTGAAATGCAAAATTCGGATGAGCCTACGGATACTGACTGGAAACAGACCAAAAATATCAAGCAAGAGGTTTTACCATTTTTCTCTCACAATTTCGCTGTCTTAAATTTTATTAAAATGCTTTCATTAAACTGCTGTACTATAAAAGTTTTGTATTTATAATTTCTTTTAGTATACTAAAATTCTGTTGTGTAGAACTAAAAAATATGTTAGTATTTTCTGGTTTCAGAATGATAATTATTCACCAGAAGCTAGTGGGATGCAGGTAAAACCAGAGCTTCCCATTCATCTAGTTGGGAGCGTTTCAGCACATGACTACTACAGTGAAGGGGCATTCGCTGCCAATGCTGCTGATATCAAAAGTGGGGAAGAGGTGTGTTGACTGATTTCTTCCATTCAATAACAAACTTTTTTTTTAATTCGTCATATTTCTTACTAAAACTATGAATGAAAGAGAATTTCACATTTTAGCTGGAATTTTCACTTCCTATCATCATTAGCAAATAACAATTTCCTTACTTCAAATTTTTTTTCACTTTTCGAACGACTTCAGGAAAGTGAAGCAGCAAACGAGATGAAAGATGCGCTACTGTTCCAGGTTGACGATCCACCACCAGAAGGGTCCATTCCAAGTGCAGCTTTCACAAAATAAAGTGATAGCAAAATGATTGATACTATATGATTTGGTGACAAGTAAATTTTTTCATAATTTTTGAGATCTTCAATATTTTTTTATTTTCTGATCACATTTATTTTGATTCCAATCAAAACATGGTATTCACTTATTTTGAGGGAATGCATATTTTCTCAAATTTTTTTACTATCATAGACTCTTAATGCCTTGTAATCATCATCACTGAACATCATTATTTGCTAAAATTTGTTGAAGTTTTTAAGACGTTTTATGTTGCTTGGGCAAAAGTATTGAAACTATTATTGATTGGATATATTTTATTTCAAATTATTAAGTGAACGTTTTATATTTGTCTATTTGGCCTTTATCAAGTTCTCACAATATAGAAACAATTTTTGAATAAAGAAGTTGGAAATCAACTCTAGTGAATGCACTGCAGAATGAAGCATGATTTTTTCAAATAAAAAAGAAGTGAAACGATGCAGAGACAGATCAAATAGATGAAATCTTTTATGTTTTTTCTGTACGTTTTCTCATAATACACTTCGTACATTAGATATCACTCGGACAAAAAAATAACTTCTTAAGAACTGAACTTGAATTTACAGTCTATAGTATTGCGGAAAAGCGGCGCAACTGCTACATTATGGCACATGTAATTGTTGTATTTACTTACAACATTTCTAGTTTGTCAGCAAAGTTAAAGAAAGTCCTTCTATTGTCTGTCTCTTCATGATTTTACATTACTTTTAAAGCAACCTTAAGCAGATTTTCCAGAAGTTCGAGCAGGAAGTGAATTGTTTGATATATGGAGTAAGCGGAAAATGAGATGCAGATTGATAACCTAGTGATGAAAAATGTTTGTCATTTAAAATGGACAAAAAATTTTGCATTTTTTGTACTCTAAAGTTTAAGACGTAAAGACACGTTTTTAAGTGATCAAATATCAGCAAAAGAATGAAAATTTGGATAAAATAGAATTATATATATATGCCAAGTCGACAGACGTAAGGTTATTATCACTATTTTTTTGTATTTTTTGAGAAATGTTCACTACTTGATGCTCGATCAAATATGGGCTTCAAGTTTAGCTGCAAATGAAAGTATAATCGGAATACCACCTGATAATGATTAATATTAAATCTTCATGAATATGATAGCAATGATAAAGACTGCATTTAAATTGATAAATGATTACATCTAATACATACATATAAAACGTGGACATTTTGTGCCAAGCAACGGAATAAGCAAGACTATATTCATCAAAAAACAATCATAAAAAGAATTTGAAAATAAGATTTGTAAAAGATTCAAAGTATCATAAAACATTAATTATCATTCAAATGAAATTACTGTCATTGAAAAATAGTCTGAGCATCGCAAACCATTGAAAAGAAAATTGATGAACGATCAGCAAGTAATTTTTGAGGTGAATCACACTCTCGGATGCAACCATTGTCAAGAACGATTATTCTGTAAATGAAAACAATAAGAATGAAATAAAATAAAATTCTTGTCACACCAAATTACCAGAAAAAAAATATGTAAAAAGTTACAAGAAAAATAAAGCATTTAATTGATATGTACAGCAGCAAAATTGATAAAAGGCACAAAATGAAAAATTGCGACAAAATTTTATAATTATCAGAATAAGATTAACAAATGTTACACTACATTAGTGCGCAGCATCATTACAAAGTTTCTTAACTACAATTGGTCTGCTCTTAAACCACGGTTCAACTACTATAGGTAAAAAGGATATATCATAAGTGATTAAGCACTTTGCTTTCAAATTCTAACCTTAAAAATACTTCCAATTTGTTCAAATAAATAAAGATAAAAAGGAATACCTGTCATAATCCATAATAGTATTTAAACGATGTGCAATAGTTAGTACAGTCGAGTACTGAAACTCTCGCCGTATTGTCTCCTGAATCACTGCATCAGTTCCTGAGTCGATAGCAGCTGTTGCTTCGTCCAGAACTAAAATTTTACTTCTCCGAAGCAAAGCTCGAGCTAAACAAATAAGTTGTTTCTGTCCAACACTGATATTTTTTCCTTCCTCATTAATCTGATACTGTAAACCTGCAAATAAATTCATTACTACTGGATGCAATAATGCAAAAATGTTGAGAGCAATAAACGAAAAACTACAGTAAACCTTTTATTGAAATTATCATTAATGATTTCATATCTTTCTTAACAAAAAATTAGTAATGATAAGTAAACTAATACGAATATGCCCTGGTTTTTACGTTTTTAATAGGTGCATATTTTTGTCATTAATGCAGTGAAAACGGACATAGAAGCAAAGGTATTCCAGAAAACTTCTAATTCAACCTTCAGGAAGATTTGAAACAAATGATTTTAAATGAGCCAAATCAAGTACAGCCCATATTTCTTGATCTGAATAATTTTGGAATGGATCCAAGTTAAATCGAAGTGATCCGGAAAATAAAACAGGTTCCTAAAATTAACCATTTCACAAACAAAATGATGCTTATCAGTTTCTTTTTCAAAAATTATTAGACTTTCATTATAACATATCATAAGTTGTTTTTTTACTTGTGGAATAATAGTGAGATTGAAACGAAGATCATGTAAGCCAATTTTTGAAATATCGATTCCATCAATAGATATTTTACCTTCGACTGGTTCAATCATTCGAAACAATGCCATAGCGAATGAGCTCTTACCTAAAAATTAAACAAATGTAAAAGTGGGAAAAATCGTAGAATAAGCTTTTGATAAACATGATATGAAAATATGGTTCTTGCACATATCTTTCCATATTTTGAAGCGAAACTAATTTCTTTGCTTATGAATAAATCTTTTTATAGTTCTCAAAAGATTGTTTTGGCAACATTTACCTGCACCTGTACGTCCAATAATGCCGATTTTTTCAGCTGGTAAAATGATAACACTTATTTGATGAATGACCAGGTCAAGACCAGGGCGATAGCGAGTTGAATAATTGTCAAAAATAATCCTTCCTTTTGAGGGCCAGTCTTTCTTTGGCTTGCATTCCCGAATACTCCAATCTGCCTGAATTAAATGAACTGCACATGAATATTCAAAATTAGTCGTTTAACATTAACTTTTATAATTATCTTCATTTATAACACGACATGAAAACTACAGTCTTATATGAACAAATATTAAATAACTGAAATAAGCGAACTTCTGTAGGTGTTTCACTATATTCCTTCACTCGTTCGACTGCTACAATATTTGTTTCAAGTTCACTGATTTGACGAACAGCAAAATTTAATGCCTCCGTAATCTGAATTTAAGTTTACTAAACAAAAATTTGTCGTTTAGATCTCAACACAAGAAACATGTTCTAGTTTTTTATGTTATTATTTATAGTTTTCTAAAATGAATTTTACAATAAGCTTTTTTAGCGAAAAGAAAAAACTGAAACTTTGATTTTCAGTATTATGCCAGCAATTAAATGAAATTTAGTACGTAAAAAAACAACTAAAAATTTTGAAAACAAAAATAAAAAAGTAAGTCACATTACGTGAATACATACTTACATTGAGAGCACAACTGATACTGAGACCAATAATGCCCGCACTCACCGCTGCACCCCAACTTTCTGACAATACCGCAAATAATGCCGCAAAAAGTACTATACAATTGCCAATAAATTCAAGTCGTATTGCCAACCAGCGATTCGAGAGTATACTTGAATATTTGCAGCGAATATAGTGATCAACATGAGCTTGCATTGATTTACAAAAAATAGAAACCTGGCAACACAAAAATGATATATATATAATAACTGGCAATAACGAATTGCAGTTTCAACGTCAAAGCGATATGAAAAAGAGGAAATTGCACTTGAAGCTTTATTTATAACTGAAAAAATAATCCACTTTCACTGATTTGCTAATATTGTTTAATTGACAGCTTAGAAAGGTTTTGCTGCTTTCAATATTACCTTTGCAAGAGAAAATGAAAGGTCAATAATCTGTACAAAAATTATCAACAATTAATTAGTACAAAAAAGTAAACAATTAGACTCAATTTTTCGAGACTGAAATAAAAAGTTATATTAAAAATGATGCAAACTATACCTTTTCAAATGCTCTTATACATATTAATCCTTGAATTGTTCCACTAAAATGCTGATAAATTGGTGAATGATTAACACTTTCTAATCGTCTTAGCTGTCTCGAAGTTGGAACATAGAAATGCTAAAAGTTTATTGCACAAAGATTTTATATCTGAAATTATGAGAAAAAAAAAGTGCTGCAAAACTTTTCACAAACCAGAGATGCGTAATATAATAATGCAAGAGGAACAATGACCACAGCAAAAACTGGCGTTGATATTATGATAATAATTAATGTTATTGTAACATTTTCCACGCAAAATACAAAATAACGGAAGTTCATCGGTAGTAGCAAATCGATTACATCGATATCCTTTAATATAATTCTTTGGTTGTATTCAGAAACGAACAACTGAATCAATCATAACTTGTTTTTGCATTTCTTGACTTGGTTTAAAATGACAGATAGTTATCTTGCCATAAGTTAATACTTATTCGAATATTTGCATGCCTTAACTTTTTGCTTCTTATTGTAAAACTCTTTCCATTTTCAAAAAAGGGATTTCAGCAAGATAAGAAATGATTCTAAAAACAAAATACAAAAAATACAATAAAGTGCACATTTCACTTTTATGCAATTAAATTGAGCGAAATAGCAATTGTTCAGAGAATTATTTTCAATTTCCAACATTTTTTAATATTTTAAATGATTAAAAAAAGCCCCATTTTAGAAAAGAAACTTGCCTTGCTAAATCTATTTAAAATGCGTCCTATAGGAGTGGTATCAAAAAATAACATTGGCGAACGCAAAATGTTATGCAGCAGTGGTGCATGAAGATTCTGTGATGCTCTTAAACCACTAACTACCAAGAATATCATTGCACCAAAGAAACTCAGACCTGAAGAACTTTTGCAGCGTTTAAATACTTAGTTCTAAATACTAAATTTTCAATAACCACCATGTTAATCAATATGCAAAGCTACACAATACGGGAAGTAATAAACTGACTTCAAAGACATTCATTAATGTCGCTGCAACACGGCAAGAACACCATATGAAACGAAACTAGATGCTGTCACCTCCATAACATAAATATATTTGAAGCTTAGAAAAGTATGTGCCTACATTAAGAAACGTGTGAAGATAACGGACCATCTGGCAACTCAGAGCGAGAAAATGTTACATTATGACTACACTGGAAGACATAAAAGTGCTTCTATGTAGTCATTTGAAACTCTGCAAGAAGTATAGTTTGAAAGCCCAGCGCATGCGAAATCATTCTGTTCAGAAGTCGTCGGGAATGAAAACGTAGAGATCAGAATCGATACACTAGTAAGAACAACAATAAAGATAAATGTGAATCGATCGGATATCATGATCCGCGATAAGAAGTGACGTGAAGTAGTCCTGATAGAGGTTGGCATTACTGGTCAAGACACACTGATGACAGTCGAGACTGAGAAAAAACGAAAATGTGATTTACTAACTAATAAACTTGGGTCAGAGATGAAATGCAGGACTAAAATAATTCTGTATGTGATGACTTGGGATGGAATTGTAATGAACTTCCATAAACGTTACGCGAATGATCACGTCGAAGAGCATATTCAAAAGATAGTGCTCAAGAAGACCTCGAAGACATCTGATGCGATTACCGCTATGGATTTTACGAACGGAGATCAGCACAACGAATCTGATAAGCCAGAGGGCCGAAATACGATTCAGCGTTAAAATCAATAGGGCGGAAAAGAAGATTAATTTCCATTTGATACTGTTGTTGTTGATTATTTTAATCAGTTTACACTATTTCATCTAATTTTAATTTCTTAAAAATTAATTTTTCTTTTTACCATTATATACCATTAAATTTCAGTCTCAATAACAGATTTCTGTGGTGCAATTTGATGATTGTAAAAATTTATGAGAAAAAACTAACATTCGCCTGAACCAAGAATTGCATATATACCGAGACGTGTACCAAGCGAAATTTCTTTAGCTTTAGAAATGTTTGATGTAACGTCATTAGCATTTGACCTAGAAAATGAAATTAGCTGTGTTTAAAATTTCCAAATCATGCTACCGAAATTGGTACTAAAAGTTTTTTTAATGCTAGTTTCTTTTCCTGATCAGTTACAGCTTATATTGTAAGTTTTAAATGTTGCAAAGTTATAATTTACTGAAATATTAGTCTATTTTCAAAAAAATTACAAATACTATTAGCATTAACCATTCGGAAAGCCAAAATCCTCGGCACATTTGTAAAATTCCAAAAGATGTTACAAAAAAAAGGGAAAGAAACGATGTCATAATTGTAGCGGACTTCAGATATTGCAAATAGACATTTAATTTTACCTATAAAAATATATACATTCATTTTATCGAAATTTTCATTCACTCTAAAATTTATCATCCAATCTACAAATTAACTAAATTTAATACAGTAATGAAAAGTATTTAAGTCATTAAATGACATCCAAAATAACATACAAATTGATACACAAGCAATATATCATAACTTTATTTTGTTTAAAAAGATACAGCTTTAAAAAAATATATTCAAAATATATCTTACCTTACCAACTTCAACTTTTTCAGACTCAATCAGTTTCATAGGTTGTTTTGTGCTCTTATCGTTATCATTTGTTGAAAGCTGAGGAAGCACACTAATTTGCAAGAAATGACGAGAAGCAAGTGACGAGCTTTCATTTGATTTTAACACGGAGGTTTCTTTTCTGCAAGTATGAAGCACTTTGCTTCTGTTTAGATCACAACTGTTGTACAAAAAGATCAAGAAAAATAAGTTTTCATTTTTATTTCACACTTAACGTTAATTTTTGAAGTCATTTGTGATTTTACATTCATAGTAAATATATAAAAACTCGCAAGTTATCTGCAATGTAAAACTTACTGATCAATTTTGTCTTCGCTCGAGTTTTCAAGAATATCATTTTGTTTCTGCTCATATTCTGAAAAATTTAAAATACAGCTAGTTGCATATTATTGAAATAATTTTTAAATTCTAATGATATTTCGTTTTCATTTCCATATTATATAAAGAATTGTATTCTGCTGATGCTAAATGAGATTAGACGTTAGCTGATAATATTCTGCCTCTTTTAGAATAACAAAAAAGCGCTAATTACTCAAGGTGAGTTACTAAAATTGCAATTAGAAATAGATTATAAAATGACTAATGTTAACTTAACGAAAAATTAATAATGGGTAAAAATTTTACAACCATTAAGTGATATCGTCAAGTCTTCTTCTGCTTCCTCACTTTCTTTACTCGATTCCTGTTGTTCCACACTTTCAGTATGACATTCATTAATGAATTTTGCGAAAGTTTCGGATTCTTCTAGTAATTGTTTGTATGAACCATATGCAGCCAGTTCATTATCTGATAATTGTTGAATTCTGTGATAATATCACTATAGATTTAATTTATTTTTTTACTAACAAAATGTGTCGAAATTTAAAATTAAATAATTATTAAAAATCGTATAATTAAAAAGCTTTCAATTTGTGATTTAAATTTGAAGTAAAAGAAAATTTAGTTATATAAGTTACTTTGCATGTAAGCAACAGCATCAACCACATGCAAATATGCCAAATTATTTGTTACCAAAATTCTCGTCTTATTTTGTAACAGTCCATTTGCTCCAATTACCTATTTTTTAGATGATTTAATATTATTCAATATATGTCAGATTATGAACTTACAGTATTTAATCAGTCATCAGTAGCTTGTTCTAAGCTTCAATTTTAATTACTGTCTAAATTTTAACGACTAATAAGTTGATAGAAATATCTTACCATCATTATGTCTTACATGTTAATTATTTCTTATATATTCTTCACAAAAATCAAACGTCCCTGTTCTTTTTTATAATATCTTATTCTCCAATCAGAAGTTGAAGATTTGAATATTGAAAGTACTTTTTCAAAAATGTGTTTGCCAACATGACTGTCGACAGCGGACAGAGGATCATCGAAGAGATAGATATCACAATTTTGATAAACGGCTCGTGCAATAGCTACTCTTGCCTTCTGACCTCCTGAGAGATTGATACCCTAAAGTTATATCGGCATACAAGTAATTATTATTATTGATATTATTATACAGTTTTGATTTGACAAATAACAACAGTTGCTAATTTGAAAAGTTTTCAGGCACTTTTGATTTTAAATCGTTTAAATCGTAATTTGCATACTTTTTCTCCAATCTCAGTAGCATCACCATTCGGTAAAGTTCGCAGATCTTCCATTAAAGCGCAGGCTTCTAGAACAGTGTTGTAATACTGTTGCTGCAATTCCTTCCCGAACATGACATTATCTTTAAGACTCAGATTCTGAATCCATGGCTGTTGGCTCACATTTGCCACTTGACCAGCAACACCAATGTACCCTTTCAATTTCTCCATTTCTCCTTAAATAAACGAAATTTTATTTGCTATATCTTATTTGGCAAAGAACAGCATTATTCATCATTAATTTGGCAAAATTTTTATTGGGTAATTTTTTTACGCTCATTCTTTGAAGATATTCTAGAAGATTTAATTCAGAATTTTCCGGGTTATAATTTAAATCTGATTGATTCCCTACCATATATTATTTCAATAATTCAGATGCTTACTATATTTACTGAATTACTATGTTAACATCCAGTTTCTGCATAATAATTAAACTAAAAGAAGTATTGTAATTTATGACTTGCATTAAAAAAGCAAAGATTGAGAATATAAAGTTTTATTGCAAAATAAAACAGCATAAATATATGAATGTTTAAGAAGAGACAGTACTGTCCGATAGTTATTATAAAAGTAAATTTGTAAACAATTAAATTTCACAAAATTCAAATATCATACTTGCTATTTACAACTACATTGTTTACTTATTTACTGTTATCAAGCATTTTTGTTAAACAAACAATGTTTTCAATAAGTTCAAAAGTTCCGAAACTTAATTCTGCCATTTTTGGCAAGAATAAGCAACAAAATGAATTCTAATTCACATATATATTATTAAATAAAAAAGAAGTAAGAACTACCTAAAATAGTATTAAGCAAAGTAGTCTTGCCACTACCAACTTTGCCAACAACAGCTACTAAGAAACTTTTTGGTACAGTGAATCGCTGTACTTGAAATGTAGGCGCACCAGAGGCCAAGTTAGAAGTGCTCCAAGTTACAAGCGCTTCTCTAATTTCAATAGCATTCGTTGTATCTGAAATTGAATACTAACTCGGTTAATTAAATGCTTAATCTTAATCGCAATACTTCAATAAAATGTTAATTAAGTTCCTTATTTCTGTCAAGTTCGAAAAATTACTTTTTTTTTCCTATGTTAGAAATTATTTTATTCATCCAGAAGAAAAGTAACAAACCAAAGTTACTACATTTGCGGTCAATAGCCAAAGGATTAATTTCTTCAGCTACCAAAAAATCCTTGATTCGCTTATTTGCTACCAAAGCCTAAAAATACGCAACTGCATGAATTTAATCTCACTTGCAGCAAAAAAAGTATATGAGAAACTGCTATCATGTAATCTCGTTACTAACCTAAATGCATAAATTGAATCGGAAAATTTTTCAAGATTCTACAAAATCAGAAAGTGTATTAACTATTTAAGCATGCATATTTAAACGAAAACCCTACAAACAAAAATGATCAATGCCCAATTGCAGCATAGCCATAATTTCATTCTGATAGATGGATTAAGTTATGGTTATATATTTTGGTAACAAACAATTTGAATTTCAGTGCATGATATAAAATACGAAAATAATATTATTAATATTAGCTGGCTTACCTGGGCGATTAAATGCATCAAAAATGCAATCACTTTCATAGGAGAGCGTAGTTGAATGAATAAAGTTAGTGAAACAAATGCAGTTTGAGGTGTTAAAATATTTGCGGGACTTGTCAGTGTATACGTTGCAAATGTTAAAAATGCAACCTGAAATAGCACCAATTACAAATTTTGAAATACTGTGGATTATACTACAGTTAATTCATGCGGTCAAATCAAGTTTAACTTTGTTCTTATTAAAATTAGTATTAAGTAAATCATAAAATAGTCTTTTTTTGGACTAAATTTTTAACTTTTTTAGCTAAAATTGATAGCTGTAAAAAAATCAAAAAAATGACAAGACTTGGAATAAAGACTTTCGAAGGTTAAAAAAATTTTGAAAAAAAAATGAACATCGAAATTGATAAAATAAATCTTTTCAAATGGAATTTGTGTTTGCTTGATAACAGTTTACGAATTTAGTTTAGAAAGAAGACTGTTTTATAATTTACTTAAAGCTCACGGCGAAATGCTTTAAAAGATAATTGTTGAAGATATCTTAGCGTATAATTCATAAATTCTAATTTACAACTTGAAACAATATTATGAGTAGCATTTATTTACAAAATTCAATTTTTTTAAAATTGACTTTATTGTTTCCACACTAGAAATAAATTTTTGCCAATGAATAAATTGATTAGAACAAACCAAAAATGGTGAGGAAGCATTGAAGCTGTCAGCAATAGCTCTTATCATATTTGTTTTTCGTACTAATTTTAGTTCTTTACGTCGGATTTGCTGTATAACGTTTTCCATAGGTGGCTCCCAAGCATATAATTTGACAACTTTTATACCATTTAATACTTCATTGCACATCTTTACACGTTCATCTTTTAAACGCATTTGTTCTGCCTTAAATACAATAATTTAAAGAAATGTATATAAAAAGCTATGAATATTTATTTTGAAAACTAACATTACCTATTTTATTTAATTCAAATTTTTTGACTTCTATCTTCAACAAAATTCAAAATGATTCGTCGTGTTTAGAACAAAGCAATAAATCGTTTAACTTTAACTGTGCTAAAAAAAAAGTTATGCTTTGAAACTGTAAAATTGAATGAGGAAAAATAAAACCTGAAATTTTCTGATAATTATTGATGTGATAATATTTAATGGAAGGAAAAGAAGCATTATAACCAATCCACAAATTGCTGAAGCTCCAATTGTGAAAAAAAGATATATGAGTGCAAGAGTAATCTGAAAGTAAGAGACTAAAAGTATATAATTTCAAAAAATTTATAAAGTTATAATTAATTAATTTGAGATATTTATACTAAAATAATACAAAAATAAATAGATACAATTTTGCTATGTGACAAACCTGAAATGGACACGACCAGATTTGTTGAATGTGAGGTGTAATTAACTGAAAGCGTTCTGCATCCACGGACATCAAATTTACAATTTCACCAACTGTTTTAGTTTGACGAACTGAATTGGATAATCGCAGTGTCTGCAAGAATGTAATTTATGCAAATTATGAAAATATCACTACAAATATTGAAATTAATATTCACTTGAATATGTGAAATACAATTGCACTTTTCTTTCTTTCTTCTTATTTAATAATTTTTTGAAAGATATGTAATTTATTGTTGAAATTTTCTAATGTGCACAGTATTAGCTATAAAAATAATAGCAAACAAACCTTATGATAAATAACCGAAATTAATGTTGATTGAATTTTGCTACTCACTCGCATCATTAAAAAAAAGTAATAATTTAGTAGAAGAGAACGAATTTGCGCACAAGCAAACATGACCAGTGCAAATGCTATACCTTCCATAACAAGCTTATTACCACTTTGGATATAATTGAGTAATAAGCTGGAAAAATTATTAATGCAAAAAACTATATCATACTTTCCATACTTAATAGTTTTAAATTTTTTAATTTTATTGCTTTTATTTATTTGAAAACAATCTGATTATCAAACTTCTTCTGTAGTTATTTGAAGTTTGTTTTTTGATTAATGCGATTTTTGACTTAGTTTTGTTTCGTATTAAATTTGTTTAAATATTTTTGTAATAATCTTTCAGTTATTTTTATATTTTATGCCTGTTCTCTGTTCTACTAAACTAAATTAACATAATAAGGTACTACACATTTTGAATGATTAATCAAATCAAATATTATTATTTCTTTAAATATGAATTGGAAAATTAACATACTTTAAAAGGAAAGGGCTAGAAAATTGAATGATATCAGAGCAGATTTTTATGGCTGCAGCTGATAATATGTCAAAACGAAACATCACAAATAATCGCCAAATAACTGATGGTGGCTTTGGTGCTTTGCTTCTAATTGCAAAAATTATTGCAAAAGTGCTTAGAGATTATACAAAATTTAAATTTAAAAAAATTATCACATCTTGAAATTATATTATAAAAAATTACAGTTTAATTAAGGTTTATTATTGTAATACATTCTATTTATCTGTAGTCTTCCAAATTACGCATTTTACATTTGTTGTTACAAAGTTATCTCGAAGAAAGCTTAATACTTTTGATACTTTGATATCATTTGTAGCTCATATTTTCCTGAATTATTTGTTTGATGTGATAAGTTTTTCATCTCTGCGATAGTTTGATGCATTTTGACTTTTTTACGATAGTCTGCAAAAGTTAGTTGTTCATGAGTTACTTACCGCAAAACAAACTTCTTAAAACTTTGCTATACAAATTTTAATTCTCATGAAAAACTTGAATAATATAAATTTAGCAAAAATTCAAATTTTTATTGCTTTTAAAAACTTTTCAAGAAGTTTGTAATCAAAATTTGAACTGTACAGCTTTAACTTAGCAGTATTTTTTAATTAAAATTTTTACACTATTTTTTATCAAATTACGTGCTTTATTTTTTACAAAATATTTTGATTTGATTAAAAATTTGCCTTCAAGTACAGGATTCCATAGTCTTTCCCATTTAGTGTACAGATACAATGAAGTATTTCCTTCATTAAGTTGATACAAATCAGCATCGACTAGCGTTTTTCGCGCACCTAGCAAGGGGATTGACGTAAACCACCACAATGATAAGCGATTCAAAAATGAGCTATCTAATTCAGGTGATATATTCTGAAACTCAATTGAAGCGTAAAACATTTTTCTGTCATCTCATGTATTACTTATTTACTTTGCTTTGATGAGCAATAGACAATTACCAATAATTAATTAGGAAAAAAACTGTTAAGTAAAATATTTGCCAACTGCTTCAAAAATGACAGATTTTCTTTGTTTTATTTTTGCAATTATAATATATAAATATATTTATGTTAAGCTTGTAACATCGTTAAATCCTAAAAAAAGAGTACTGATTTCTTGCTGGCTTCTGTTGCATTAAGTCGTCGACGATCAGCAAAGCAAAGAAGAAAGACTTGAATGATAACAAATGGATACCACAACTGATAAAGTACTGCATTCGTTTTACTCATGCCATGTGTGAACTGTGAAATGTATGCAACTTTTTATTCAAATTAAGAATTATTGATAAAGTTAATAAGTCTCATTTGCTTTCAATTTTCACTATTTTTATTGGTTTTGAGTATTTTCAAACTTAATTAAAGTAGCAAAATTTTAACATGAATAATAAAATTATTTCTTTGAAAAAAAAAGGAAGATGGCCAAACCTGTTCAGTGCTACTTCTTTGCCAACTGAAAAAAAATTCTGGAAAATCGCATATTGCAAACATTATCCAGGTAATGTGTAGTATTCCTGAAGTAACTAATCCATTTTTACGCGCTATCAGCATACAACCAATACTGCTGAACTAAAAAAACAATATAATTAGTTAATTTCTGGAAAAAAACTGAATCTTTCCTTGAAAAATATTGATGGTTAAACCTGGTAAGTGCTAATCTTTGCCAGCTAAAAAAAATTATGGAAAACCGTGTTTTGCTATTTACTATACTTTAATAAATTAAAGTGTTAATTGCTAAATATTTCTGCTGAAATTTATTATTAAAAAAAAATTGATTTGTAAATAGAATAACTTACTATTGTAAGCATTGTAATTATTGAATTTATAAAATCAGTAGAAAGAATATGAATATTATTTTGTATGAAAACTATGCTTATTATAAATCTTGCCATAGAATTCAATATCAAATAAATCGCTATGATCTGAAAAAAATTGTTTTAATAATTTTTCATTTTGAACTCAAATTTTGCATTAAAAACTGAAATGATTTCAATTTTATTCATTATAGAAGCAGTAAATTTCATGAATAACTTTAATTACAGAAAAATAAGAAAAAATTTGAAAACTCACAATTTTTGTGATTAATAATGCTGTCCATGGCAATGTTTCCGAACGAACCCCACCATTTACTTGTGTACGGTAAATTTGAGCAATAAAAACTGGCAGTAACAACCAGAAAAATACTGATGGTAAATTTGGAAAAATTGTTACTCGAAAACAGTCAAAGTCATCATTAACTATTCCATGTAAATTTTGCTGAAATTCAATTTAAATTCAACAATGTAATGAATTTAAATTTTTGATTGTTATATGCAATATAATTACTGTAAATTTTTTGATTTTGTTTATTATTTGATTAATTTTTGAAAATCTTTAGAATTATAGCAATATTTGCAAAATGTTAAATCATATAATCTTAAATCTTATATGAAATAGTCAGACAATTTAGATTGGAAAAAAAAAATGCTAACATTGCAATATTCTCGTAATAACTCCATGACAGCAAATACAGCTATAGCACTACTACTGGAAATAATAATTAACTTCTGAAAGTTAAAATCTTTGTGCATAGAACTGTCATTACATAGCAATGGTATGGTATGGTATGGTATGGCATGAGCATGCAAATTTTGGAGTAGTATTTAGAATTACAAACAATTTGCTAAATGCTTCTTCATATTTAAATGAATTTTAATGAAGTTTGTAATAATTGATTGCGAAGAAATTATACTGCCCGAAAACAATCAATAACTCAAAATAAGGGAAAAAAGTAATAAAAAAACAAGCAATATTTAAATAATATTGTCAATAATTGATCAATCAATTTGTATATAGTTGATTATATTGTCAATAATTGGCAATTATTATTGAAGGCTAAGCTAAAATTTTCAATACTTTTTAGAACTATGACAAAAATCAACTTAAACTCCAAAAATATCATTTAGAACTTTTTCTTTCTTTTTAAAGTATTTAAAAAAATGCTTGAAAACTATAATTCATTTGTACCAAAGCATTAGTTTGTTTATAAAGTGATTAAACGCATTAATAATCAGTCAGTGATGATAAGAGACGACATTTTTGCAGTTGTGATAACAATGCTTCAGACCTTATTTTTTACAAATAATATTTTCATGAAAACTTTTTGGGCTTTACATTTAGTGTCATAGTTTAGTCCAAAATAGAGTTATGCTTATCACTTCCATTTAAGTAACTAAAAGGATTATTTAGATGGAAGTGAATTGAAATTATTTTGCCTTTCAAAATTACAATGAAAACTTTTGATGAATTTTTGTAATATTTAATTTATTGAGACTAAATAATTAATAAATTTCAAAGTCATCTTCATAGTATTTCGATTAAAATTAGTTAAAATTTGATTTTAATCTCTCAGCAATTAATTCATGCTACTAATTAATAAGCCAACGGAATTTCTAACTGTGAGGAATAAAATAATCAAATATTTTTGCATGTGTTTCAAAAGCAAAATACAAATTATGGCAATATATCGCTGTTTCCAGTAAAATTGTAAAGTAGAAACTACTTCTAAGCAATGAATTAATAATTAGTAAATGTAAAGTTTTATCACGTACCATATAATACAGAATTGTGACTTTTACTGCTTGAAAATTGCATTTTTTTTTTTAAATTCTTAGGAAAAATATTGCTTCCAGTAGAAAATTTTCTGATTTACTATTGTAAAATAAAATAATAATATTTTCATAGTATTTTAGGCTTTTTGCAAATTGCACAGTAGAAATTATCAGATAGAAAAGCAACTACAAGTAAGCGAAAACTTATTGCATCACAATCCAGAAGTTTGCTAGGAATAAATTTGCTAATAAATTATACGATATTATACAATTTTTCAAAATTGTCTCAATTTATTAATCCAAGGTTATTCTTATTGATTACCTCATATAATTTTTGCAAAAAATATTTATTTTTCAGCAAAGTTTTTTTCGTTTTTTTGATTACAATAGTTACGTTACTTCACTTATCATCTAGAGAAAAGTGAAAAGAACAAAATTAAAATCAAAACTGATTAACAAGAGCTGTTTCTCGTGGTAAATCATAGTTAAATACATATGATAAACAATTTGTAAGCAAAGTTTATCAAAGTTTATCGATATTGAATAATTACTTACGCATACATGCATAAATGCTATCATATATAGTGTTAATAATCACAGATTCATTTCAAATAATTTGCATATTAGTATCGAACAATTGCAATTTACCATCTGCTTATAAATTTGCATACAATAAAAGAATGCCACACTGGCAATAGTTCTAGAAAGATTAATAAATTTGAATTATTTCTACTTGTCAGACAAGGTCAAAGCTCAATATGCTAACAAACAAATGCAAAGTTATTTCATATTTTCATATAAAATCAATTACAATACTGTATACAGAACTTGCAAAAAAAGCTTTAAACTAAAAAAGTTAACTGTTTATCTTTACTGCATTTTAAAGTTATTATTTTTAGAAGTGTTATTTCATTAATAATCAAAAATATTTTCTCCGAACTTTGCAGCTAAATATTATCTCAAATGCAAATTATTAAAGCTCAAATGAAAGTAAATGATATTCATAAAGTTATGTATATGAGTATTGTTCACATGTATGTTTCTTTTGTTATGTTATCAGTAAATCACTTCATGCGATACATATACAGTTTGATAATCAGCAAGATAAATTGCTTTTATTTGCTATCGTTAACAATCGTAAAATGCATTTGCAAAAATCTCTAGAAAAATTGAATCTAAGATGAAAAATGCATGCAGCAACGTTTTCGTTCCGTAATAATTGCAAATTTGTTTGTATATGTCATATCAAAAGATGATTTTTATTATTTGAAAGAATGATATAGAAAATGACATCCAGTAAAACTTGACGTTTGGCCTGATAAACGAATTCTTGTGTTAACAAGTACAGTGATAATGGTATTGAGCTTTGAGAAACATGAATTAAAGATGTGTTATTTTTCTGTGAAGGATAATTTCAGTTTTTAAATTTTACATTTTTAAAGCCATCGTATCTAATTTTCAAGCCACTTTATCCATTGATATGTAGATTAATGTGAAATACATTTGAAATTTTTATCCTCTAATTTTCCACTGAAATTTTTTTATCAATTTAATTGTGCAAAATTAACCTTAATTGAGATTTATTTTACACGAAATATAATTTTAGTATTGAAATTTAAGATCAATGGATTTGTTCAAATTTGATTTTAATAATTAAGCCAAAAAGAAGTCATCAGGAAAATTTAAATATCATGATGAAGAACAAACTGATACTTTGTCTCTCTAGAAGTTTTATTTTGAATCATCTAGAAATATGCAGAAAAATAATAAGAGAACTAATTAACTCTTCTTTCTCTACTGTTAGTCATAAATTCATTTAGGACGGGCAAGTCATGAATGAGTAGATAATAATTATAATAATAACTATGACAATTATGATTATTATTATTATTATTAATTAACACTGATAATAACAATAATCACTATTACTCTAATTATAATTGTGCATTCATTCGATTTGAATGACAAGAAAACGTTCTTTTTGTGAGCTTTGGAGAACTAAATACCATTTAAACAAATTTCTGAAGTTTGAATCTTTGCTTTTTCAACCAATAACAAATTTGTCAACTTTGCTTGCAATAGCTAGACCAAATGGTTTAATAAGCAAAAAACAAATTTATTCCAAAACTTTCCAATCAAAGCATATAACAACCAAATCAAAATACAAACACCTACAAAAGTAAACATGAAAAAGATAAACTTCAATATATCTTTCAAATTTTGAAGACCAATTAAAAGTTTAAATTTTCAAAAACTTCAAATATCGAAGAGAGTATTGTCACTTTACATACAAGTATGTTATTGCAAAGTGAAATGTTTCATGAAATTTTTAAACTGCAATAAATGCTTAATATTTCTGATGTAAATAATCAAATTTGTGTCTAAAATTCTATGAATTCAATTGCGATCTGTTAGCTCAAAAAAATTGCAATATTTTCAATTTAAATTTTGTTTGTTGCTTAAAATGATATGCTTGATAATATGAAATGTCTATTAACAAATTGTTTTCTTCAATTGAACAGTTTATTATGAATTTTGATTAATAAAATGATACTCTTGCATGCTTGCTTTTTGATAATTTTTTAATTTCATTCAGAAAATAACTCACTGTTGTTATGTTAAAAGAATTGAAAGTGTTAGCATAAGTATACCTTTCATTCATGTATTACTACAAAAATTTATTTACAATACACACAAAATAAAAATGACAAAGCTAAAGTTTCCCATTTTTTAAAATTGGACTTAAACTACCAGCAGAGGAATTACTGCAGCTTTCATCTCGAATACCACTATCAATGCTTCCATTAGAAATTCGAGTATTTGTAGTGCCAAAAATTTTTTTCGATGTTGCTACAGTAGGTATTACTTGAGACTGTTGGAAAGAAGAAATATTATTGTTATTCATTACTGATAAATAATCCTTCTGAGGTATCACAAAATTTTCTGTTTGTGATGAATTTTCGATTAGTTGCTGAGAATGAGACTGCTTAAAATTTTGTGACAATTGTGATAATCGGCGTTGCTGAAAAATAAACATAGTTATTTTTAACGAATAAAATATTTTATAAGAAACTTTCTTCAACATGTTAATTTAGTCTTGAAAGTTTTTTATTATTTAGTATAAAATAATATAATTAAAAAATATTGGAAAAATCTATCATTTCTTTTTTCAAATCAAAAAGATATAATTAAGTTTAATTTTATTATTAATTAATTAATGCATCAAAAAATACAATAAATATCTCAATTTAAACAAATATTTTGTTAGAAATTTGAAATAGATTTTAGAATAAAACATATATCAAGCATGGAATGAAAAATTTATGATATAAAAAAAAATTATTATAACAGATGATAACAATACAAGTAGTTTTTTTAATAAACGATAACCATTAAGCATTGAAAATGTCACCAATTTTTTATTTGTTGACATTCGATTGCTACTTCGAGGCGGAATCGGAATTCGAAGAACAGAATTTTTACGAGAAAAATATTGCTTTTGTTGATTTTCTTTTGGCTCATCATCCACGTACAAATGAGTTACACTTGATAAAGTATTATCAAACGTTGTTGTGATAGCATTAGGCCAATACTTCTTAAAATTCATTACATAATTACTCTGGTATTTTAATTTAAATTTAAACTTTTTAATTAACAAATTCCTCAAAATCACAACTTTAACAGTGTACAAAATTATCAAAATGATTGATATAGATATGTTATCTTTTTTATTCATTTCTATTTACTAACTCTTGTAGAATTATCCAAATTAGCTGTATATTCAGCTTAGGATTAGCTAGTTTGTATGCTTTTTTTAGTTATAACTTTGCGAGAAGGCAAGTAAGTAAGTAAATAGCTAACTTCGTCCTCATCACTTCTTTCTTCTTCCAAACAATTTAACAGAATTTGACTTTTATAGCGTGATTCACTTCTCGATTTCAATTCTTGGATTGAATCTCCCAATGCTAGTAATTGTTGCAGCAAACGTACATCATTTTCCATTAATGATATCTGAAGTAACTACTGCCCAAATGCAATTTGTTTTTTCACAAAATTGTTAGTTTCTATTTTTTAATATCATTTTGCAAACTGAAAAATTGAGACAGATTTTGATTATCAGATAACAAACTAATTTAAAGTTTGATAGAATTATTTATCATATCGTATTTCTTTGTCTAAATCATAAATTGTTGCTGACACTTACGTACTTATGACGTAAGTATACATTTTCATTACAAGATTTACTGATTTATCAGACAAATCAACACTTGGTCAAATTCATTTTTTTTAAATTACAAAAATGTAATGTGCAAAAAAAGAAAACAAAAAGGCTTTTAAATTAAATATAACGTCTAATAAAAATATCAAAATTACTACTATGGAACTATTTTCATACAAAAATTATAAATGTGATGTTATATTATTGAAATGTATAAATTCAAAAGCAAATTCCTGAAAGAAACTCCAAGTCACAAATTCATAATTTAGTATTCAAGTTTATATATTTTATTAACTTTGCAATGAAATTCAATCAGAGAAATTCAAAGCTAAAATTTCATATTCTTTCTTATAATAAATTGTAGAAAATAATTCTATTTACTGTTCCAAATGAATTATTTAATTCCACTTTAGGTTCAACAATGCATTCGGCTTTTCATCCATGATAAATAATTCAATTGACATTCATACTAAATCATTCACTTCTATTTTAATCTGTTTTCTTCCATATTTCGTCGATATGAATATTAAATTGTGTTTGTGACCTTCTATATGGTCAGTGAAATGGAACATTCATTATCTGCATATTTTAACATTTCAATTGGTTCTCTACATTTCTAATCATCGTATAATTATTGTGCATTATAGTTATGATTATAGGAAAATCTCAGTTGTTAATAATTTACAAAAAATTAACACATACTAATTACTGATAGAAATAATAATAATAATAATGATAATAATAATAACAATCATAGAAGCAATTTAAAACTTCAGCACTAGCAACAACCTTATCGTAACAATAGCCATCATGAAAAGAATACAATAATATTTATAATAAAGCAATAGTAACAATAAATAATATGGTCAATAAGCGTTACTGTAGCAATAAGTAATTATATGAATACTGCTTTCTATTCGCGCTAACCTTTTCATGGTTTATTTATCTTCGAACAACAGAAAATTACATGTTTGCTTTTGGAATCATACAAAAGAATATATATATAAATTTATATGCAGTGAATTTATGAATGTTTGATATCTATCTATTGCATAATAGTTATTAGAATATTTAATACCATTATTATAAGTGATAATAAGAGCAAATATAAATTTAGCTCTTATCATCACTAATAATGGTTACGGTTGCCGAAATACTATTCCTCTAACTATATATATTTATTTTATTTATTTATTTATAAATTCGTGTAGTAAATTAAAAATAAATATTAATTAATTACTAACTTTGATAGTTTTCATTAACAATCACAGTATTATTACTATTACTATTATTATTATAGTGAAGTAATTACAACTAACTCTGATTACTTTTACAACACCACTAATATTCTATCAAATTGTTAAATTTATTCATTCCCAGAATTATTTCTGAAAAATTCGATATCAAAATGAAAACTATTGCAGTGAGAAGCAGTTATGGCTGTATTTTAATAATGCTATCGCTAGAATATGACCATTAGTTTCCAATATTCATGTTTTAATTATTTGTATTGAACTGTGTTCACGCGGAACAGAATGGTTTTGCTGAAATCTTCCTCAAAAATATTCGGATAGCATTATCGTACTGATAGGACTTTTATATAACGGCAATTGATATAATTATAATAATGAAAGTAAATTTTTTACTGAAAACAGTAAACTTAAAAAGACGCAAATAACAGACTGTAAATAATGCAAGTAAAGACATTGAAAGTTGGAGTCAAACCGATGGAAGTAGTAAGTTTGGTTTCTGAATGCAATGAACAAATTACACTCAAATTACCAATAATAATTTTATCACAATTTTGAAAATGAAAACTTTTTTATTAGTCAAGTTTATGCTTCAATTAATATGAACAAAACTTGGCGTAAAAATTTGAAATAAATTTTCAAAATTTGCCCGAATTGTTTAATCATCAATCTACTCAATTTTAAATCCTTTATACATTGATTTATCAGTTCAGATATCAGAGAACTAATTTCACGAAAAATCTGTTTTTAACTGAAAGAATAAACTAAATAATGCAAAAAAAAAAAAATCTCTCGATTTTTATGTCAATTTCAATTAATAAAAAAAAATACAAAATCTGAAAATATTATTTTTTCTCAAAAAGAATTGTCAAGAAATTTTTTCTTCGCATTATCAAACTTTTATACTACAAAAAGTGCATTAAAAAATTATTTAAAAAAATATGATTTTCACTTAACTTTTGGTATTTTCATCAAAGACTTGATAAAAATTGCAAAAAATCAGAAAATATATTCACACTTTCAAACATTAAAGTTACTAATTTTCTGTTTATGTTTTTTTTTTAAATGAGTGTAAATATGGTTAGATTATTAATATGTGATGAGATTTAACAAGGAAGCCAGTAGCAGTTCTTTTTGAATATCTTAAATTTATTTACAGACAAATATAATCATAAAAAGTGAACATTAAAATGAAGGATGAACAGTGATTAGACTTAATTATAATAAAATAAAGTTATTTGATTTTCGTTTATCACTTGTCTAACTTTTTAATAACCATTTTCATTTTTATCAATTGCATCTTTTTGTTTAGACAATATGCTTAATTCAGTGCATTGTTCTAGCTAATTTGAATAATTTATGTGAAAGCTTGACCCCCTCACCCCCCCATAAAACAATTCATGTCCCTATTTGGAGAACCACAAACACAAGTGGTAAATTATAGTAATAATTCGAAAAAGTGACCTTGAGAATGAGCAGTTATTGGTCATCGTTTGTTTAGAATTCTCTTTTACCATTCAATAATTATACAACTATTGAAATATTACCTGCGTAATGATTACAAATATTGTCTATAAAAAAAAAGAGAGAAAAACAAATAATGTATGAACATCAGTGAAAATAATATTTGATGTAGTCAAATCATGCAGAGATTATAATTTAAAGTTGCAAAAATTCAAAATGTTATCAAAAATAATAAACTTTTATTATATAAATCAGTTATATTTATCACTCACTGATAATTCAAAATGCAAATTTCTGCATAATATATAATAAAATACCATAATTAATAGAATATATGCAAATTTTCTAGACTGATTTGAAAATAATAAAGACAAATCATTAAGTACTGAGAAAACATGAAAACAATTTTGATATCAGTCAACAGCTTCCGTAATTTTTTATATTTGATATTATAACTTTTTACTGTTTAACAAAGTTCATTGACAATGCTGTTAACTGCAATAGATCTAATCCTTTTTCATTTTCTCTAGCAGCTGCCAATTTAAAATATTTTTTGACAAATGCTAGAAAATACTTCCTTCAGATTTTCAAAAATTCTTCATAAATTTAGGATTAAAAAAAAAAAATAAATATGCTTAGACAAGTTACAACACATTATTTCAGAAGTTTTAGAGAGAATATTGTTTTATAATAATAAAAGTGATAATTTTGAAATTTCAAATCTAAACGATATAAAACTAATCAAAATAATTTTGTGCACAGATTTGCAATTTTAATCCTACGTTTAAGGATTTTGAGAATTTAAGTTGTGTGAAGCTTATATTGTACTTTAGACTGGAAAGATGCAAAGATATTTGTACTAATTCTCAAAGATTTTATCAAAAGTGATTGGGATTTAATTTTATTTGGAAATATTATTTAAATTTTATTTAATATCAGCACGGAATTTGATGAACGCTAAATAATTGCATAAAATGTACGGTCTCAAAATTTAACTATTCAGGTCAACTTTCAAAAACAAATTTTTGCTGTTTTTTTTTTTTGGTATATATATACATATATACAAATTTATCAAATTTAAATATTGCTCATATTTTTTTTATTGGCAAAAAAAAGAATGATAAAATTATTACCATCTTTTCGCGCAAAAGATCGAATTTCTTTTGTGCTTTTAGACTGGAATCATCATCATTGTTATTATCAATGTTATTGAGAACTATTACAGAGCTGTTTATCATAGGTACAGAATCATTTAAATATGGTTTTGATGGTTCTGATGATGGCAATCCCGATGATGTTGAAGCAGAACATGAAGTTGATAAGAGATACTGATCGTTATCAATGTTATCCTCAGTTTGTACTAAAGTAGACGTCATACTTTTCAGTAATGTTGATTTATCTTGTAAATGCATGATATCTGATGATTTTCTGCAAGCAATTTCACTTTTTGAACGTACAGTTTTGTTGAGAAAAGAAAAATTAGATGATTCCAAACAATTGCTATTCATATTCACTTCAGTACACGAAATACTACTAGGACGACGTGATTCTAAGCATACAGAAATAGTCTGCGCAGAATGTGCAACAGTTGAAGAATGTTGAGAAGTAGTGCTATCATTAGGATTAAATAAAAATTTTGCCGATTCATTATAGTCAGCTTTAGATTTGGTACCAGAAGATGAAATAGGCACTTCATTGTCATCCAAATTACAAAAACTTTTCGTCTTTTTACAACGTTCTAAACGCTTTAACCGATTCGCGCAAAATCGTCGATAATCCGCCAAATTATCATCCATTTTTTACTACTTTTGCATGATTTTACTCTGCAACATGGGCAATTTTTAGAGATTTTGTAGTTCAATCACTAATTAAGAACTAAAAATGACACAGTCATAATTATATTCATATACATATATATATTATCTACACGCATATACAAATACACACGTTAGGAAGTAAAATATAAGTACAAAGTTTTGAAAGATTTTTAAAATAATACCAAAAGATTAATTGAAACAAAGCATTTATGAATTATTGAAACATTCAAAATTCCATATTAATGTTAAAACCTTTTATTTACTTATTCAATTATTTTCTCATGAAAAAATAATGCACTGAACAATCTAATTTTATTAGCAAAATGTGTGAAATAAAAAATAATGTCTAAAAAAATCCTTTTTTGTCCAGCAAATTACAAGAATTGAAGCATTCAACAAATATTAATTGGTAAATAAAAGCACAACTGAAAGATGTACCTAACTTTTCCCATTAGCACCACAAAATATTAAAAAGCAATAATCAAAAAAAAATATTAAAAAACAGTAATCAAATTCGATCTTTGTGCTACATTTCAGTTTCAATGCAATAAAGAGCAGTGCAGTGAGCAGCAAACAAAATTTTAAATTTAATTTTATTACTCTTATACAATATGATGAAAAAATGAATAATATCGAAAATAAATAGCAGTGCTGATTGTTATCAAAATGATAACTATTTATTTTCAATTCATAAAAGTTTTATCTTGTTATCATACGTAGTAATAAAGTTTGTTCAGTAATCATAAAACAAAAAACATCTATAACAAAATTTTTCAAAAAATTATCATTTATGACATAATTAGCGATAGTGAAATAAAAGTGAGAATTTATTTTTGCATACAAAATTAAATGAATGAAATAACAAAAAGTTTGCTTAAAAAATATCAACTCATTACGATTAAAGTAATGTCAAAATTATAATTTCTCAAAAATACTTGCTAGTTTTAATTAAATACTCATGTTTGTTTTACACATTACTCAGTTCACAGCAAATCCTGCAAGAGTTTGTGCACTGCAACTATCAAAGATTAAGCTTTCATTGATATTATTAAAAAATCCTTTTTCAAATTTTATACCTAATACATTCATTTTTAAGTAAGTAATTCAAATTTTTTTCAATATAAACAACTACTGACTGATGTATACAAAAAAAGACAATATTTATTTAATTTGGATATACTCCTTTAAGTAAAAATAAATCATCGCTAAAATTATTGCACTCTGATTATCAATTGAAAGCAAAGTAGAGATTAATAGATTTGTACAGTATTCCTTACCAAAATGATTAGTACTATTACAGCACTTAATCCCATAGAAAAATAGAAAAATTATGAAAATACTTAGTAAACAGTAAGAAAAATGATGAAGTGAACTGTAAAAGATGAAATGCAAAATTTTGATTAAAATAAAATTGTCTGAAACAAGTTTATAATTTCTTTACAGAAAAAATAATCAAATTCTTGCAGGATAATACGAATAAAAAATAAAGTTGAAAAAAATTTAACCACTTTCATTTACAAAATATTTGAAATTTGATTTTAAAAATTAGACCATCAGCAGTAGTTAAATGCTTTTGAGTTAGCATGCGAAAGCTACTATTTTCATTTCATCTCTAACTTTCTAATCATTTTAATGTTTGTTTTAACATGATTAATCTTAAATATGCGCATTATAAATGCACAAAAAATTATTGCACAATTAGTGAATGATATTTCAGACAAACATCTAATAATTATTCAAAAAAAGTGTATAATAATAATAATTATTATTATTATATTGCTACTTTTATAATTGAATAAGTGGAAAATTTTGATGTAATACCACAAAAATATCATTGGAATTTATATGTTTATCATCAAGCAATTAAAGTATTTTTGGAAAAATTTTCAAATTTCATATGAACACGAATTAGAAGTTAGACAAAATGGAATTTCGATGATGTATTCGATGATTACTGATGAAATGATGTGAACAATATGATAAGAAAGTAAATACATTCTTTTCATTCATCTCCTGAAATACTATTATTTCTTCAAACAATTCAGCATTATTTTTCAATCCAATTTCTATCACTTCTTTTATATTTTAATCTCATGAAATTATGAAGTAGTAGTACAAATTAATCAACAATAACAACAAAGTTAGAAAAAAGCTATTAGATTCAGACCAAAATTAGTCTCTTACTTTTAGTAATAGTTTAAAAAATAATCTTGAGAAGAAAATTCAAATAATTTCAATTACTTTTTATTGACATCACTTTTTTATATGTTAAATAAAGTTAAATTTTAGCTTAGTTAATTTATAATTTTCAACAGAAAACAAATCATATCATATTGTTGAAATTAAAATTTGCTTGTACATAAGAATACTTTACCGTGCAAATATATTACATGAAAAATGCATAAAAATGAATAAGTTTAGGTTTAAGTAAATTTTATATTGTAAAGAAATAAGTTCAAATTTAAATAAATTTTATGTTGTGAATAAAAACTTTTCAGCGCTAATTTTCATGTTCAAATTTAATTTTATTAATTATATTTCTGAACGTCTGTATTTCTATCACACTATCATTAGTTGTCATCATTACTGTAAATATTATAGCAATTTTGATAATAATATTTGTGGCAAAAACAAGATTAAATAAAGGAAAAAATATTTTATCATTATCATGGATACATGAGTGATGTTATGCATTATTATATTAATAATGCTGCTATATTTACTGTAAATATAATAAACATTATTAATATCGTTATCATTGATGATATAATTATCATAGGCATGAAATGGAATGACAAAATATGATCTCATAGTGATTTGTAGATGAAGGCTGAAGGGATGAAAATGAAGGCAAAAGAAGGCGTATAGCACAGATGGAATTTATTTCTCATTAAACAAGTTTTTCTTGAAGTGAAATAAATTAGTGGGCATGTCTCGGGAAATGAATGAATGGTGGTGGTTCATCACTGAATCAGTCAGTCAATGCATTCATTCATTGTAAGAAATGCTTTTCTGTAAATGCAAAAACCTGAACATCCATAGCAAATCTGTCTGCGTCATCAGTGTTTATCAGTAGCACTTAGAAGATTCTCTTTTTTTGAAAATTAGTTTAATCTAACAAGTAACTTACTTGAATTAACTTTTTTTTTCTTTCTCTCTCGCTTAAAAATTTAAAACTAAATAATCACTTCTACTATGCATAAAATGTGAATTTGTCAGAAATGAAATATAATTGTAATTTAAAAAATACTAAATTAATTCAGCTAATTTAGTTTATTTACACTAATATTACAGTTTACTTTTGTTATTATTAACTTTTTGTTTATGTTATTTAATCCCAAATGATGTATGCGAGTGTATTTACTTTAAGTTATAGCGCTCTTTTTTAAATATGTCTAAAAATGTGGTGTTTTATTTTAAAAAAAATCATTTCAAAGATTGTTATACAAATTATAAATATCACATATTTCACAAATTTAATGAAGAAAAGAAAATTACCTACCGTCATATTTGTACTTGTATTTCTGTTTATTAAAACAAGTACTAAAATCTATTATACCATATTAAGCAAATAAGATAGACAAAACTATAATAATTTTACTCTAGTCATCACCAAACGAATATAATCTTATTTACTATTAGCAGACTCTAAGATCAGCTAACGTGCTAGCTGCGCTAGCAGTAGTAATAAAAACAACAATTATTTTTAAATAAAAATATTATTAGTCTGTGGAATTATTAGTTTGTGGAATGAAATTAACTCCCTTACACTTTAAGTGAATAATAAACAAGCATAATTATACAATTATTATCGTTGGCACATCGATAACTTGATTTTCACACAGTGCAAGCTGTTTTCAGTGATATTATCAGTGATTACGATGTTTTTCAAATCAATTTTTTCTCTATATCCTATCGGTTCAAATTATTGTTTAATTAAACTGTCAACATTATTTTACTAATTGCATTTGACACATTATTCATTCAAAAATAAGCCAAAAAGTTGCAATTATTGTCAAAAATAAATAACATATAGTAGCAACAATACTTGAAAGCAAAAAAACTTGAAATTTTTATGCACAAAATTTATCATTTAATCAATTTATTTTCTTTTCCACCACAATGATTCACTTTTTTTACAATTACCATTACAAAAATTATTATTATATTTTATGCATATTTTCGTGAATTTGCTGTCATATGTAATGACGACAAATGTAATACTGAATGAAAAATCTTTTATTTATAAAAATTTTGTTAACTGACAGATTTTAATTAGCAAAGAGAAATGATAACTTTATAAATGCAATGATAAACAAATGAAAGTCTGATCAACAGGAATGTCATTAGATGAGACGAATAAAAAGTGCAAATTCAAACTGCTTAGTAGTGTAGAAGATGCTTTGAAGTAACAGTAAATGCATGTATTAATATTAACTAACGAAAACAAAGCAAAATATTAACATATTTGATAATTTTGCTGATAAAAGAGTGATTAAGTGAATTTAGTAAGTAAATGAATGAATGCATAAAATTAAAAAGTACTTTCAAGCAATGATTTAAAAAAATAAAAACACATCAGAACACAATTAGGTACTCACTACGATTACCCATAAACTGACGAAAAAACAGAAATATAACGAATATTAGCATCTGGATGAATTAAGAAGATATGACGAATGGTGGTTTATAGCAAATTTGTCTGACAGTAAGAGTCCTACATAAATCCTTAAGCTATAAGTCATAAAAATATTGCCAGATGCTGATTTGCAAAAGAAAAAACCTGGATAAAGCTTAATTACGCAAGATGTGTGCATATCTACTCTTGCCTTGACTAAATCTCTGCGTGAGAGTGCGTGTGCATACGTGTGCATTAAATCTGCGGATGTATGCACGTGGGAGCTTGCCTATATTTGCATAGGCTAAATATATAATGTGCCCAGCTGTGCTTGCAAGTACATGTACACCTGTCTCAGGTC